TTAAGGTCAAGTTTTGTATTTTTCACTGATGAACATTTTGTTATGATATTATGAAGCAAAGTTGGTCGGAATTAAAGAATAAGTCAACTGACCAAAGATCAAGGTCATTTGGGTCCAAAGGTCAAAGACAAAGTGGATCTCTGACTTTGACACTGGCCCTTGATGGAGGAGGTACGTAAGGTGAAATAAAACAAATCAAGGCTAACAAATGAGTATTGCACCGGTATTTACATTTCTGTTAGCCCAGCAAATATGGAGATGAAAGGAAACAAGACTCGCAGCATAGTACATGTAAAATGCATATTTTGCTTCCTTGCGATTCTTTTTGAAGTCCAAATGTCAAACGTCAAGCTAAGCTATATGGGCAGATTGCTTCTTGATCATTATGGGGGATATATTGCCACAGGACGGGGCCCTTACTGACCTGTCAGTGTTCTAGTTTTAATACAGAACTTAAGCATACAGACCATGATTTGGATATATGGACATAATGCCCGTGTCCAGTGTTATTATAATCATTATCATATACAATGTATTATGCAGAGAGAACCAGCAGGAGAGAACTGATAAAGGGGTAGCCTGTTGTTCGATCCTATTCTTATACCATCATAATTAAAATGTGTTTAAATGAGAACTTCAAAAAATATAAGTCAAGTGATTTTACTTCAATACATGTATAAGGTATATTTTCAAATTTGAGATCAAGGAAACAATAAATGCCAATATTGGACAGTTACTTTCTTAATCATCATATTATTATGCATACATATTCAAATTTCTTTCATTTTGTTGCAGATTTGAAGAATTGTGATACTGTAATTGCAGATGCACATGGCAACTCCTTCATAAATAAAAAGACATCAGCATGCCCCGAAAAATCTGACAATGGCGATATCTGCTCTGTACATAAAGGAGAGTTTCAAAAGAATCTGTCTACCCTGAAACGCAACATCGCCAATTTAAGGACATGCCTCCGTGTGTGCTGGAGGTGGTATATTGGTGTATTAGCTTACTAAACTTAGCTTTATGATTGTTTGCTCTAAGTTGTTTCCTTTATCAATGTTTAGAGGTTTAAGTCTGTAGAGTGTATCAAAATGATGCAGTAAAGATGAGAAAAGGGTTGATATACATATCATTTTGTAAAATAAGGTTTCATACAATATATATCTTACAAGAGATCCCAGAGGGATCTTGGCACCCACCATTGTACCATCTTCATTAGTTCTTTGTCAATTCGATCTTTTCTCTTCTTTCCTCTAATCTGTTTGATCGAGTCATGTTAACAGTAAATGCACCTTGAGGTAACTTTTGATCTAAACTTAATACTGATGTGTATGCAAGCCAACCTTCAAAGTGAGTTTGTCATTTCACATATTTACTAGTACAGTACTTAATATGAAAGAAATTTTGGGAAGCAATATGAGAAAGATCAGTTTAGTTCTTTCTTTAGTCATTTTGTTTTTATGATCAGTCTCAAAATATAACATGCACAACGAGGGATCAAGGGGAACCTACATATCAAATTTGAGAAAGATCCCTCAAGTTATTCCTGAGAAATAGTACTAACAAACCTTCAATGTAAAAAATCATAGGTGGCTGTCGGTAGGCCATTTTGTTTAACTGATCAGTTTCAAAAGTAAACATGAACAATAAAGGATAGTGGGTAACCTGCATTGGCTGGCCCAAAAAAATATTTTTGGTTGAGTAAAAAATTTGAAGCACTGGCCCAAATTAAGAAATATTTCCACAGCATTTAGCACAATGCTTCAGCACATTTAAATAACATATAACATGACAATGTTTGTAATATGTAAAACAGAATAAAACATTATATTTTTAATTCTTCAACCCTAGTTAAAACCTGACATGATCCACTCCATTCAGGTCTTCCCAAAATGAAATACACAAAACTTGCACCTCAAAGAAGACACCCTGGCAGTATTGATATAGAAAATCTGAAACATAAGTTATCACATTTTTCTAAATCACGGACAGTTCGACTCATATGGATGTAATGACAACTGAAAAATGTACTGCCCCCCGGTTAATGTGGAAGGGACTATAATTTCTTTTATTCATTAATTTTTCGACAGTCCCCCAAACTATTTTTGTTGGGCCAGTGACTACCTCACTTTTGACAACTTTTGGTCGCTCAAACAAGACTTTAAACGCCATTGGCGAGCGGGCGACCGTCCATTTCAGGCACTGCTACACAACAAGAGAACAAGGGGAACCTACATATGAAATTTGAGAAAGATCCCTTTGGTACTTCCCGAGAAATAGCGATAACAAACTTTCNGATAGGAAATTCTTGAGCGATTCAAGACAGTATACATGTAGATATCTAGAGCAAACCCTTAAGCGATTCAAGAGCTGCATATAAGATACTCATATATATATAAGTAGTAAAGAAAGCTTTTAAGCGATTTAAAAGCAGAGAGCTTTGCCTTGAGCGATTCAAGAGAGGCAAACTGACCACCAGACTTAAGCGATTTAAGAGCTGGCAAGACGAAACTCCTGAGCGATTCAAGAGCCTAGTAGAATCAAGAATAGACAGAAAAATTAAAGCAAAAGCAGTAAAATAATCAACAGATAAGTAAATAATATTACAGAAAAGTATTGGGGGGAAAATTCCCCAGGAATTAAAACCC